GGCGGCTTCGGCCCGGCTAACAACACCGGGGGGCTGCGCGGGATCGACGAAAACGGCACCGCCCGGGGAACGCAAAGGCAAAGGCGCGTGTGTGTGTTTTGTGGTGGTGGTTGTGGTGGTGGTTGTTTTTCCTATTCGTTAATAGAAAAAAAAAAAAAAAGAAAAAAAAACCCTAGGGCACTGGGAGAAGGTTCAGGAAAAATATACCCAAAAAAAGGTGAGATAAGTTAGGGTTTACTGATCATAAATAAAAGGTACGTTTACCAGTCATCATAATTGATCCATCGATCGCCATCCAAATGGATTCAATGGGGTCAAGAAACCTCTGTATATGAAGTCCTCAGCTATCAAAAGATCGTATTTTTTGTACCAATGCTTTTGAGGTATATTCACAGAAAATGTAGAAAACATAGTAAAAGGAAGAAGTATAAAATTGCGACGCCATTGTTATTATGAAGTTGTTCGACTCACATCATAACTCAAATCTATCATACTGTATGCAAACGGTAATGTAAAATAAAGGGTATAAAGAATAGTGTTTCAGTTATAAATACATAGAGGTGTATGCATTGAAAACAATACCCTTTAGTCTCGCTTCCCGTATGGTAACGTAAGATTGGTATAGATGAAAGCACATTGGGGCTATGAAAATGGGCTCTATTTGCAACATTTTTAAAGATATGAGCCGACAAACAAATCTGCATTATGGTCAAACCAAAAAATAAAAATGAAAACCATAAAAAGCAACAAAACAATTTTTTAAAACACTGTTACCACTTTTAGGTTAGTTTAGTTCCTGTAAGACAGCACTGATATTACTCCCCTACACATACACACGCGCATGCAAACATACATATGAATGAATAAATACACCGAAAGGGATCACAAATGAATATCTATGGCATGACCAATATATTATGGGGTCAATGATCCTACTTATTTCAGAAGCAAGAAACATATATAGTTGGTACAATAATTTTGGTCTAAATTAATTCAAGATGTAGGAAACATGCACGTTAAAAAAAAAAGGTCAAAAGTACTTTATGAGAGTGGTATACAGATGAGGTTACTTTTTTTGTTATTTTAATGCGATGCTTCTCAATTTTCTTAAAAATACCGAAAATATAAATTAGTCTTTATTTAATTTTCCCTTTCCCTCTCTGAGTCTGGTTTATAATTGTAGATTTTATGCTTAGTATGACATATTGCAACTATATAATAGATATACCCTCACTAATGGGTTTTTTAGACTGCGGGTTGCACGAAATCTTCTTCTTCATCAAACGGGCATTGTTGTAGAGCAGGTATCGGTCCCTGCAATCGTGTCGTACAACAAAACACCCAGTAACAGCTTACTTTTATATATTATACAGATCGTCCCCCCCCTCCCCTCTTCTGGTGTTTGTTCTATTCTTCTTAATTGGCAACCATCGGCTTCATAATTTCACCCCAAATGGTCAATATCATCGATCACCATTTTTCACAGTTTAATGTAGTCTATTACAATTAATACAAATTATATTATTTACATTTACGGCCCAATCACATCATTGCCTGTTCTCGCCTCTAATTGTCAATGAAATATGTACAAATGTAGAAATCAGTACATAATGAGGTGGAAGATGATTAGTTGAAATAGAAGATGCTATTACTGCCTACGATACACCAGCAGTGTAATTAAACAAATACTTCTAATTATATCACAATATATGGATATTTGTTTAGTGCAGAAGGTTTCACTGCCATGTTTTTAGACGAAAGAAAAAAAAAAATGAAAATTTGGGACAACATTGGACTTTTCGGAAATAATCTACTCAAACAATGGAAACGCACGAAGCGTTTCTCGATTTAAGAAAGATAAATTAGATACGAGGATGGATATTCTTTTCTTTTTTTTTTTTATTATTTAGGGG